GTAACGTCTGCATACACTCTACTCTCCTCAGATCCTATTTGTGAGATTTCACGGGATTTGTTATTGTTGTTAAGCACATATAGAGTTATAAGCTGTTGGTAGTCCGTTAAGTTGAACTGATGTATCATTGTCAGTGTATAAAACCTAAAATTTGATGTAAGACTGAAACCGTTTTTGATAAAAAAATGTCAATAGGTTTCTGTTTATAAATGCATCATGATATAATTTCAGTGGAAGGTCTCAACCTCGATGATGCAGTCCCGGGAGTCTATACAATTCACTGTCTACTATTGAGGCTGGTTCATGGAGATGGTTCACCTACCAGGTGCATCCTCTTCCAGTGATCATTTTGGCTTAGCATAAGTGCATTTTAAAGCATAATAAAACACTCTTGCTTTCCTGTAACGTATGAGGATCAGAGAAACGACAATAACAAGAAGAATCAAATAAAAAAATGTAGCGGTAATAAGCAATAAATAAAAAAGTATAAGAGATTAAAATTTATTATTAATCTTAATAGAACAATATGTTGTGAATCAAATTGACTCTGCAAGGGCCTATGGGCTATTAGAGACTTTTATTTGGAATTTAGGCCCAATAACCATTTTTAAGGAAAAACTATGTATCTATCCATACTTAACTATCACATATACATATTTTATCTCTACTTTAAAAATATTATATAGAATACCTTTTTTTTTAAAAAAATACAGTATTTATAAATAAAAATTAACCAGATACACAATCCTTTTAAATATGATAATAAATAATTATTTTAAAATTACATCTCCTCAATTAGTTGGACACTACCAATTCAAATTAATTTTGCTTCATTCTTTTCGGTTGTTTCCCTTACCAATCCCAAAACAAATACCTCAAGTATCTCACCATTACCCCTTTTTCTTCTCCTTCATTAAACGTTTGCTTCCCCTATCACAAAAAATATTATATTTCATACTCACTCCCACACGTATCCCTTCTTATTTAACCATTTTTGTTTCCTTTTGCATATGCTAAATTCATATCAAGCTCTACATAATTAGCATTAGTTAAAGTGACAAAGTAAGATTATCTTTAGTTTTTTCTATTATATATTTGTTTTCAATTGTAGCATGTATTTGATTTGATGGTTTAGGTTTTTTCTAGCCAATTTGTTGTAGGGTTTTTATATTGTTTGCTCCATTTTGATGGCTCATAATTCAGAAAATAGTATGAATATTGTCATGTATCCGAGACACATGCTTTTGAATATAATATATGAAATTGAAACTTGATACATCGAATCAATAATAGATACACGAATTTAAAATTAGATCTATAAATAGATGCATGAAATTAACATTATCATATAAATAGATACATGAAATTAATACTAGATACGTATAACAAATACATAAAATTGATATTAGATACTTCTATGGTACATACGAATCGACTTGTATGATACATATTTAAGTGTTTTGTTTATTGGATACATCATATATCGATAATAGATACATCAAATTAATGAATTTTATTATTTTAAGAGTAATAAAATGAATTGCATTATCAAGAAATACATTTTTTTGTCTTTTATAAATGATATTGGCGAATTTATTATTTTAAATACTAATAAAATGAAATTAATTAAAATAGATGCACTCCTCCTTATATTAAGGAATTTGGTTATAACCAATTAATTAAAACAAATAAAATGTGCATCTCAATTTTAAAATTTTAGCAGATATATATGAATATGATAAAAGAAGTAATATTTAAAACTATTGAGAATGTAAGTAATTAGAATCTAAACTAATGGGATTTATGTAGTTTACCCCATTTTTTCAATAAGACTAGGAGTTAGAAAAATGGTTATGAAAATTATGTCAGAACTTTATCGCTCACTTATCTCTCATCCCCAATCTTTGTTGTGGTATCTCATCCCCTTCTAGTTACTTCTTCTATATACTCTATTTGTAATTAGTATGTTATTACTTTGTTGTGCGTACATCGTAATTTGTATCCCGTGAATATTATATATAAGTGTTTGTGTTGAAAATCGAGTTTGTTTCAACATATTTCCAGTATCAGAATTTAAAAATCGAGTTTATTTCAACATATTTCCAGTATCAGAATTTAATACTATTTTTAATACGTTGTAATTTGTATTTCGTGGATATTATATATAAGTGTTTATGTTGGGAATCGAGTTTTCAACATATTTCCAATATCAGAATTTAACACTGTTTTTTTTTAAATAAAAAGGAAGTGTTAAAAGTTGGGGTGAGAGAGGCTCGAACTCTCGACCTCAGGATTACTCAGAAGCTATGAGACCTACGCGCTAGCCATCTGCGCCACCACCCCTTGTTGCTTTTATTATTAATATATGCAATAAGTCCATAAAACGCCCTTTACTAAAGATTCTTTTATACTTTGGACTCAAAACCAAAAACTTATACTCTCTCCCGTTAAAAACAAAACAAAAAATTAATTTGTCTTGACACGAAATTAAAGAAAATAAAGAAAACTTTTAAATCTTGTGATAATAAATTAAAGTTATGTCAAACATACAAAATTGTTCTTTAATTTTATAGCTTTAAATATATCATGTGAAAACTTAAAGCAAAATGTTACAAAAAAAATCATTTTTTAAACAGACTTAAATCATTTTTTTGAAAGGAGGGAATAACTACTAGCAAGAGTCAGGAGAGATTATTTCTGCGAGAACATGAATACTTCGCTTCTAAATTAAATAATACAACATCTAATTGCAACAACTAATTAAATTCGTAAAATCACTTCTTTCTTTTATGAGTTAGTAGAGTTCTTAGATAATTGATAATTTTATGTAATATATATTAAAGCATATTGAGAATTTGAAGAAAAACAGTATTTTGCTTTTATACCAAAATCTTTCAGAAGGAAGAAGTATGAAACAAAATTATTGCTGTTATTAAATGGATCTTTTTTTCTCAAATATAAAACTACTTTTTTCAAAAAAAATATCTAAATCCTAGATATTTTTGAAACATGAATATATTGGGAAAGATGCAATCAAATTATTGACCTCAAAATAACAAATAAAATCATCATCTTGGGCCTGTGCATCTAAATAAATAAACACTTATATTTGATCTAAGTTATAAATTTGACACTTCAAATTAGGCAAATTTATATATTTAAGTTTGTCAAAAACAATTATGTACTTATATTTAACGATTATTATGTTGATGAACGATCGTACAATAAAAAAATTATTTCCGTTCATCGATACGTTATCCGATGATCAATTTAACACTTGTAATTAATTTAATCATGCAACGAGGTCAAACGCTATAGACATACGTATCCAATATAGCTCCCTACAAATTTTAAAAACACCAAACAAAGAAAGAAACCCTTCACCATATCACATGCAAAAAAAAATTCCCTCCGTCTTAAAATATGTGGTACTTCTTTTTTGTTTTTGGAATTTTAAGATAGAATTGATCTTGTTCTTTTAAAATTATTCTTATTTATAAACAAAAAACTATATAATTAAACATACTTTACTATCATATATTATTATTACCTATACTTTTAAAATATTAGGTATCTTATCACTAGTTTTTATATTGTACTGGCGCTTGTCTTTCTGGCAAACGTCGTTGGGGAAGTGAGCCATTCTGATATCAAGAAAATAATGGAAGAAGAGAGAAGTTACCTGAAAAAGAAAGTAATTGACATTAGCCACAAAGTATGCTCATGATTTGCCTGCTTATAGTTCCAAAAATGGACTTGGAAACTTCATAAAACTTGAGACTAGCATCAAATTGGGTGATCTCTCTAATTATTCCGTCTTTAAACTTGCAACTCATTCTGGTACACGCGTTGATGCTTCTGCACATTTCAATCAGACCTTATTCGAATCGGGTTATGACGTTATTTCCTTTCCTCTACCAACTTTGAATGGTAACGTTTCTGACATCTAATTTGTAAATTTTCTTGTATATGGAGTGATAGACTGAAGAAGTATTTGCGAAGGTGATATACCTTTAAATTATGAGTGTTGTAGCAACTTTATTTGGGATGTAGCCCTATTTCCTTTTTCCTTTTGGATAAGGCACAAGTAATTTTAAACTATGACCGAAACCCATAAACAAAACTTTAACTTAATTAAGTTTCTATTACCTTTTCAAACTATTTTTTTTTTTTGTAATTTTGAACACCTTTTAGTTTACCTAACTCAAGTTGAGACGCATGAGAGATATTTAGATATCATATAAGCAAAAAAAGTGTACAAAGTTACAAAAAAATATTATTTAGTGGTAATAAAATCTTAGTTTAATTAAGATGTGACTCAGAGATTCAGTTATAGTCTAGAAGGTATTTGTGTCTTATCCCTTTCTTTTTTCCTTACTAGTAGTTTCTTAGTATCTTGATAGTGTGTAGTCATATTCTTTTTCCTTGTAAATCAACTTTTTTTCTTTTGAGTGGAGAATTTTTGAAGAATAATTTCTCTACCTAGAAAGGTATATATAAGATAATGAGATTATATTATTCTAGATATGTTATTGTTCAGGCTCAACATATTGAATGCTAGGATTGTGCAAAATCCGAACCGAAAAAAATGTTATTGTGTTATTATTATTGAATTACTGGATTATTGGGTTTTTGAAAAAACTTATTAGATTATTGGTTCGATATAAAATATTACTATTGAGTTCACTAAAAAAAAAAACACTTAAATTGTGGGGTTAAAATTACATATTGTGGAGGTTAGTAACCCCACAATTTAGTGTTATAACAATTGAGAGAACCGCACAAATAGGTGTGCCACAATAAAAATAGGTGTGCCACAATAAGTCTCGGTTTTTTTTTTTATCAACCCCTGTTAGTGAGGGTTTAAAACCCAGAAATGTATATTAATAAAACTGCACATCAAGTTCTAGGAGTCAAAACCCCCACAAATCATGAATTTTACATTAGGAACAACATGAGTTCTAATTTATGTACATGTAACCTTTTAGAGAATTATGCTAGAAAAGTTGTATTTTAAATATTAATGACGAATTAACATGCACATCATAGTCAAACCTAAAAGGACTTATTAACATTAAGTAGTAACAAAATACCTCAGAAATACAAAAATGCATCATAAAGTGTACTACTAGTTTTACAAACTAAATTGAAACATATCTTTCACTTCAACCATTACCATTATAAGAAACTTCAAATCACTACAAAAACTGTCGAATCAAACTTCCAGCAAAATGAAAGTTACTTTGAAATCAACTATTCTGCACCACAGATCCCTAATCTTGCTCTACATGAAAGCATAAGTTCAGTCAGTAGAACATACAAGAGAAAAATTACAAAGAACAGGAAATAGATGTTACCAAAGACATCAATGAAATTATAGAGAATGATGAAAACATGGAAAGACTTTGAGTTGCATATTCTACTCTATCAAATGCCAGACTTTGAGTTATATGATTTAGAGAACCATCAACTAGCAGAAACATCAGCAACTAAAAGACTGATGCCATGGTAATTGAACAGAAATTTAACTTTACTGTATGATGCTGGTGATGTCGCAACAAAGTTTCGAGCAACATACATCAAACCATCTTCCACGTATTTGTTCACCTTCCAAACAACAAAGCTGAATCCATTAGGACCACCTGTATTTTAGTTGCATCAGAGAGAAACATTGGCTAAAAGTGGAGGTGAAAATGTACGAGAAAATCAGCAAGTCCAAGTCCGTCAAAACTTGGACCATCTCCAGAATATACCATTTTTCTTCGCACTTTAAACATGTGGACAAAAATAACAATAACGTCTCAATCCCAGACATAATTATTCTAGAGAAACACACGCAAGAACATTCAAGTTTGAGTGTGTCAAACTCATTACCATAAACACTGATCGATCCCATGAGCTTCCAGCTCTTCCACTATTTCACGAGGAATGGAGGGAAGTAGAGACATTGGAATGAGTATCGACATTACAATGTATTCCTACGCCAAAGATTCAGTTGAGTATGAGGGTCGACATTTCTAAAAAAATATACTTTTTTTGGTAAACATATTCCAAAATGTGCATCTAGTTATGTATAACTATTCTAGTAGATAATTAGATAGAGGGTGACATACAAGGGTGACTAATGTGACAGTAAAGCAGAGGAGTGTTCTTTAATAAGAGAAGAAATACTTCTATCTTAGCAAGAAGAAATAAAGTGGTGTAGATAGCCAAGACCATCAACATCACTCATATCTGCGCTGCATCCCATGAATCAAGACACCAACACTTGTAGTTGCATCTTGATATCTCTAAGAGCTCTTCAGGCATCATGCTCTCCTGTGCCATGATTTTCCCGAAGAAGAAAGGTATACTAGGAACACACAATTATACCTGATTCAAGATTTCATGGTTTGATTGGAAGTCAAAAATTAGCCGAAATGGTGAAAAACTTCATCAGATATGGACTGATGTCCATATTATCAAACAATGGTCAAGCAATGCTGCTCATAAATTAATTTAGTTATAAATCTTATCCAAAAAACGAATGGTCAAAATTTGCCTCGTCTATGCAACACTTCATCAAGCTCTTCTTTCCACTTTCTTTACCTCTCAGATAAGCTTGCAACAATAACAATTATTCAGACAATGAAACTAAAATTAGTCAGAGAAGAAGAATAACACAATGCATTATCTACCTTGAATGCAATGTGCACATACTGAAGCTACAGACAAGACCACACAATTCCTTTAAGAATCTGCCTACAAGACTAATTATATGCAACTTGTTTTTTTTTACAATTCTAAGTCATTTTTCATGTAACTATATATAGTAATTTCAATTACTTCTTGTCTTTGCATCATTCCTAGCTTATTTATATCATATGTTGCAACTTAGGTCTTCCTTTTTTAAGAAAATATTGGTGATATCATAGTGAAAATTTTAAACAAACTAACCATAAAGGAAGAGTGAAGAAAAGGGCGTGCTTCCTGATGCTCCTGTAACAAATGGAGCGCACAGTTAGAAAAAACAAATGTATATGTTGAACTTGTTTAATTACCCGAACTTGTAGGAAACTTTGCACCATAATCCATATAAATCCTATATTATTTAAACAAATCAGAAAAATGTTTTGATTTGTATTGATAGTCTTCTAGAACTTTCGAATTTCAAGTCTTATATTTAGATAACTATACAAAACAACTACTGTTACAACCTCAAGCCCAAACCAGAGAACTACTTTTTTGGTCAAAATGCATTAACTAAATACAATTTATAGGTGTAAAGTTATAGCATCAGTGAAGCATGAATGAATTAAGAGTACACCTGACATGCAAATGATAAGAGTATTCTTTTGGATGCTACCTTCTTAGTAGGGAGTCAATTCATGCTTCCGCAACTGATGTGGGGCATCAAGTGGTGGCAACGAAACCTGAAAACAATAGTTCATTTGAGATCACAAATCACAAAAGTTGATTAAATTTAAGCCTGTTTAGTTTGGATTATTTGGCTGAACTAAATTAGTAAACCTCATCAAACAGTCCCGTCTTTTTATCAGTAAAATAGTGTTAATCAATTGAATAATACACAGAACATGAGAAATCAATGTTGAAAATTGAACATGAACTACTAACCTTTTTGCAACTATCTATTGATTCTCTTGGCACAAATTCAGTATCTAAGTTTCATGAAAAGAAAATGTGAGTTAGAAGGGCAAATTACAACAAATTCTCGAGTGAAAGTAGAACCAGGAACAATCGGAATCATAAGCAGAAAGAAGCTGATACATTCAATATTTGCTAGCTTGACAAATAATCAAATAATCAGATAAAATTCAAATCCAATACAAAAATCTCAAACAATCAGAAAAAACCCCAAAATAATTGTAGAGATCTCATATAAGCCGATAGAATACAAACTTTACCTCCATGCATCTATAAATACATAAAAAATGAACTTAGACAATGAATACAAGTATACACCCAGTAATTGTGTACAAAGCTTTGCAATCAGAGATTCAATCTCCGGTGAAATCAATCAACTATGAAGATTGAGATGAGAAAAATCAAATACATGAGAGAAGAGGAAAATAATTACCTTCAAATGGTGAAGAAGTGGAGGAGGAGTAGCGGAGAAGCGAGGAGGAGAGGCGGAGGAGCAGCGGAGAAGCGAAGAGGAGTCGCGGAGGAATAGCGGAGAAGGGAGAAGTGAGAGAAATACTTTGCATTTTGAGACGTTTATATATTTTGCATTATATTTTTCTTTTTCAATGGCGAGAGGCAACCCCCGGTTTAGTCATATTTTCCGACAGTAACACAACCCCCACTATTTAATATAATTTGGGGGTTGCATCTAAACCCACTCTGTTAAACCCCTGAAATTTTAGCCTTTTTTTTAGTGGCTATTGGGTAAATGATAACTCAATAAGATTATAATAATTTATAATTTTATTTTTTTAAATTATTTTATATTAATAATTTAATATATAATTAGACATTATAATTATATCAAATAATTTAAAATTTTCATTTTATTTTTGGTGGTAACATGTAATTATAGTCTTCGTGCTATATTTTCTCTTATTGATGCAATTTGTCATTATCGTTCTTGTTCGACTATAAATGCATTTAGAGAAGTGAGAAGACATAAAATATTTTACGGACATTTTCTTATTGGATAAATCGAAAATCGAACCGATAATGATAAAAAATCGATAAGTTGAAAATCGATAAAGAATATCTTATTGGTTGCTATTGGGTTAGCATATTTAAAAACAAAAAATCAAATCGATAATTCATAAAACTGAATCGAAACGATCGACCGATGCATATTGAATACACTTGTGGTTTCTGCTTATATATACTAGTCTTACTTGAAATTTAGCTAGGTTTTTATTTTCTTTTTGAACAATATGACATATTTTGGTGTTAATGCAGGTCCAGTTCTTGTAGTGGACACCCCACGGGACAAGAATATTACCGGTATGTTTCTAAAAATTATTTTGCACCAAATGATATAAACCTTATTGTTGCTCGTCCTTTTTGTTCGTCAGCTGAAGTTATGAGGTCATTGAACATACCTCGGAGAGTGAAACGTGTTCTCTTCCGAACATTAAACACAGACAAGTACTTGTTCGTCTATTTCGAATGCTAAAACTATCTACAGACGTTGTTTGTTCATCTTGTCATGTCGTTTTGTGTTGGATGTGATATTGTGAACATAAAATAGGAAGCTGATGTACAAGAAAGAATTTGATTCCTCCTATGCTGCATTCACCTCAGACGGATCATAGTATTTGGTACATAATACTGATATCTAACTCGTTGGCGTTGATTACTTATCTGTTGCCATTAATCCCAAGGATGAGCTCGTTAAAGTTCATCAACTACTTATGGATCCTAAAGTAAGTCCATTTGCCTAATTTGATTGAGTTTAAGCTTTGTACACCTCCACAACATAATGGTAACGCCTGCATACACTCTATTCTCATCAGATCCTACTTGTGAGATTTCACGGGATATGTTATTGTTGTTAAGCACATATAGAGTTATAACCTATTGGTAGTCCGTTAAGTTGAACTGATGTATCATTGTCAGTGTATAAAACCTAAAATATGATGTAAGATTGAAACCGTTTTTGATAGAGAAATGTCAATAGGTTTCTTGTTTATAAATGCATCAAGATATTATTCCAGTGGAAGGTCTCAACCTCGATGATGCAGTCCCGAGAGTTTATACAATTCATTGTCTACCGTTGAGGTTGGTTCATGGAAATGGTTCACCTACCAGGTGCATCCTCTTCTAGTGATCATTTTGGCTTAGCAAGAGTGCATTTTAAAGCATAAAACACTCTTCTTCCCTGTTAGGTATGAGGATCAGAGAAAGGGCAATAACAACAAGAATCGAATAAAAAAATATAGCGAAAATAAGCAATAAATGAGAAAGTAATTTGACTCTGCAAGGGCCTACGGGTTATTAGTGACTTCTATTTGGGATCCAGGCCAATAACCATTTGTTAAATAAGATTAGGAGTTAGAAGAACAGTTATAAAAATTATGTCGAAGCTTTGACTTTTAGTTATCTCTCGTCCCCTTTCTCTGTTCTGATATCTTAACCCTTTCTAATTATCTTTTTCTATGTACTTTATATGTTCTTCTATATACTCTATCTTTAATTAGTATGTTATTACTTTGTTGTGCATATAATACGTTATAATTTGTATCCCACAAATATTATATATGAATGTTTGTATTAGAATTTATATATTGTAGTTTGTATCCTATGAATATTATTATATATATCAGTGTTTGTATCAGAATTTAAATCTGTTTTTTTTTTAAATAAAAAGGAAGTGTTTGAAATTTAAAACTGTTTTTTTAAAACAAAAAGGAAGTGTTTATAATTTATATCCCATGAATATTATTATATAGCAGTGTTTGTATCAGAATTTAAAACTGCTTTTTAAAAATAAAAGGAAGTGTTAAAATGTTGGGGTGAGAGAGGCTCGAACTCTCGACCTCAGGATTACTCAGAAGCTATGAGACCTACGCGCTAGCCAACTGCGCCACCACCCCTTGTTGTTTTTATAATAAATATATGCAATAAGTCCACAAAAGGCCCTTTTCTAAAGATTCTTCTATACTTGGGACTCAAAATAAAAACTTATACTCTCTCCCCTTAAAAACAAAAAAATAAATAAATAATTTTACTTGACGCGAAATTAAAGAAAACAAAGAAGACTTTTGAATTTGGTATTTATAAATTAAAGTTATGTCAAATATATAAAATTGTTCTTTAATCTTATGGCTTTAAACGTGTCATGTGAAAACTCAAAGCAAAACGTTATAAAAAAAAGAAAAGGTCATTTTTTTAAACAGACTTAAATCATTCTTTTAGAAAGGAGGGAATAACTACTAGCAAGAGTCAGGAGAGTTTACTTCTGCGAGAACAGGAATACTTCACTTCTAAAGCAAAACGTTACAAAAAAAGAAAAGGTCATTTATCACTTCTAAAGCAAAACGTTACAAAAAAAAAAGGTCATTTTTTTAAACAGACTTAAACCATTCTTTTAAAAAGGAGGGAATAACTACTAGCAAGAGTCAGGAGAAATTACTTCTGCGAGAACAGGAATACTTCACTTCTAAATTAAATAATACAACATCTAATTGCAACAACTAATTAAATTCGTAAAATCATTTCTTTCTTTTACGAGGGAGTAGAGTTCTTAAATAATTGATAATTTTATGTGATATACATTAAAGCATATTGAAAATTTGAAGAAAAGCAGTATTTTGCTTTTATACCAAAATCTTTCAGAAGGAAGAAGTATGAAACAAAATTATTGTTGTTATTAAATGGATCTTTTTTTTTCTCAAATATAAAACTACTTTTTTGAAAAAAATTATCTAAATCCTTAATATTTTTGAAACATGAATATATCGGGAAAGATGCAATCAAATTATTGACCTCAAAATAACAAATAAAATCATTAAGTTCGGCCTGTGCATCTAAATAAATAGACACTTATATTTGATCTAAGCTAGCAATTCGACGCTTCAAATTAGGTAATTTATATATTTAGATTTGTGAAAAACAATTTTGTACGTATATTTGACGATTATTATGTGGATGAACGATCATACAATAGAAAAATTATTTCCGTTCATCGATACGTTATTAAATGATTAATTGGACACTTGTAATTAATTTAATTATGCAACGTGGTCAAACGCTATAGACATACGTATTCAATAGCTCCCTACAAATTTTAAAAACCAAATAAAGAAACAAACCCTTCACCATATCACATGCAAACAAAAATTCCCTCCGTCTTAAAATATGTGGTATTTCTTTTTTGTTTTTGGAATTTAAGATAGAATTGATCTTGTTCTTTTAAACTTATTCTTATTTATAAAGGAAAAATTATATAATTAGACATCTTTACTATCATACACTATTATTATCTATACTTTTGAAATATTACGTATTTTATCACTAGTTAATAGTTTTCTATCATATATTAAAGAAAATACACTTAAATACATGTTTTTTTGCTACTGGATACATAAAAATAGGGAGAGAAGCGAACAAGATTCGAATATATCCCAATAACATGTGAATCACATTAAATATATATTAGATACATGTATCTATACATATTTGGAGTGATTTACATGTATACCAGATACATGAAAGAATAGTGCTGAGCAAGATGAGAAAGAGAAGCGAGAAAATTTTGATATGTATCCTAAATACATGCGAATCCACTTAGATATAATGTATATAGTACAAATGTATATAGTACAAATTACACTTAATTTTGACCTCATGTATCCATTATACATATATCTGGATGTATCCGCAGACACCAAAATCTGGTAAGATACATTATATTGTAAAATAAAATGTATCTAAAAAATTAACTTTTTAACTAGTGAGAATTATCTAAGTTATTAGGTATTTATTTTACTATTATTATTATCAAATACTATTCCATTTGTTTCATATTAATTGTCTACACTATCATTAAAAATAATTGTTCTTAATTGATTTTCAATTTATTAATTAAGATAAAAAAAAATTATATCATATTTTTATGATTAATTCTTTTTTATTTTTAAAAGGCGAACAAATTTATAAAGTTCAAAAAAGGTATAACACATTTTATAATTAACAAGGATAGTAACATTTAATATAAAAAAAATATAACCATAGTAATAATTAGTAATAGAGCTGTCAATATGAGCTAGTCTACCCCATTTAGGCTAACTCATACAAGCTTTGACATTTTACGGGTTAGGTCGGGCTAGCTCATTTTTGGCGTGGGCCAGAAAATAATCGGCCCAATCAACTAGTACGTGGGCTACACAGGCTTGACGGGCCAACCCACTTTTTTAAAAAAATTATATTTTTTTTATAATTATTAAATTAAATTTTAAATTATAATTTAAAATATTATCATAAATATCGACAAAACAATATTACATGATATTGATGTTAGTACTTGTTAATCAAATCAAAATAAAATTATTTTTATAATATTTATTAGGGATAATTTCAGAGACCTCCCTCCAGGCTTCACTTTATAACACTCACATTCCTTGTGGTTTACGACATTACGTCTACCTCTCTTATTTTCATTTACTTGTAACCATTCTTTAAACCTATTTAAAATAAATATAAATTAATATAGATTTGACAATTTTACTCTTTTTTATATAAATTTCTTCTTATTAATAAATATTATATAAAAAATAACTCATTTAACAAATATTTTAAAAATAAATTAACACAAAGACTTGTTTTTTTAATCCAACAAAGATCAAAGTCTTCAACTAAACTGACCCACATTTTCACCAAAGATTAACTCCTTATCTCTATTTCAGCTTTACCAATTCACGTAAATTTCCCCCCCACAATAACCCATCATTTTCCGGCAACAATTTCTTTAAATAGAAGACAAAATTGAACTTCCCAAGAAAGAAATTCGATAAGAACGATAAGATTTTGTTCTAGTTAAACATTTACACAAGCGAAGAAGAAACATGATCCAACGAATAAAGATAAATCATTGAAAATTAGATCCAAACATTCATATATAAGGGTAATTTTTTTGTCAAATCTAAATTAATTTATAATTATTTGAATAGGTTTAAAGAATGGTTACAAGAAAATGAAAATAAGGAAGGTAGACGTAATATCGTAAACCACAGGGACAGTGAGTGTTATAGAGCGAAGCCTGGAGGGAGGTCTCTGAAATTATCTCTATTTATTAAGGCTTTTTTCAAGTAAAAGTATAAATATATAAGTTCTTAAGATTTCCGTTTCAAGCCTACATTAGTATTTTTAGCATTCAACCTCGCATACTCGTGCATTCAATATACTGATGCAAGTTGGCTTGCATCGTATTAAGATGCAAATGCAGGGAGCGAGGATCGACATCCAACGCACCGTTGATCTAATGAGCACTCCAGAGCTTGTGGTGAGTTTCCTTGCATTCCGGAGGACTCTTTTATTTGCTTTCTAGTTTCGTCATTTGGATGTTATGGGGTTTGTCCAAAAAATTTTCACGCCATGAGCTTACACCCGTGACGTGGCCGGCATTAGAAGACTATTGTTGGCCACGAGCGTAACCTTTGTCTGGCTTACTTAACTCAGCGGAAGACAACAATCAATACTATATATTCAAAAAACTGAACTAAATAGAATAACGAGTTAACTGGAATGTTTTAAAGATTTCAACTTTCAACTTAGCCAAAATGACAATCCAAATCTTAACAAATAGAAAGAATTAGAAATACTAAAGGACTAACCTCTGACTTTCAATTTATGAAGAACTGAGATGGATGTTGGGACATGCTCCACAACATTCTGATAAAGAAAATACTGAAAAACAAAACAATAAAAAGAGTCCTTTGAAATGCAAGGAGGCTCACCAACTGAATTTTGAGTGCTCAACTTAGTCAACAGTGTGGTGGATGCCGATCCTCGTTACATGCGTCTACATCATGATACGTTTCAAGCCAACTGTATCAGTATTTTGAATGTACGAGTATGCGAGTTTGAATGCTAAAACAACTTAAACTTGAAAAGAGTAAAAAGAAGCACTTACCTTGGCTTTGCTTAACCTATGAATAACATAACTTTACTGACTCATTTCAATATAATGCAATTTAAAAGAAAGTGCAATATAAAGAAAAGTTGTTTGAAAAGATGTTGTAAATTCTGAATATATACAAGGATACAAATAACTATGAGATGTATGTAAAACTACAAATAAACTGATGTGTATATATAAATATTTAACTTCTGTGGGAGTTTCCCTAACTGACAACCATCACTTAAGAGCTATAATGATGTTATAATGATCTACCTCACGCTACCAGCGCATCCTATATTCGGCCAAAGGTATAAGATCTGAACTGGCTAATGGATCCGCTAGTCTACTCTGAAAAGGGTTTATCTAAAAAGTGTGATCCTTTTCTACTCATTGTGGCTACATGGTTTATGAGGGCTATGAGTTGTTTGACCTCTACCTCATATCAGTGCTCAATACAAACTCCCAAAATATACTGGCTCTTATGTTTTAAAAACATACTGATTCTGTGATTTGAGATTCGTGCTAAAAAATTTAGCTCAAAGGCTATCTTGGAAACCTCAGTTTTTCTGCTCGCTTAATTTAGAAAGCTATTTCCCTTTAACTAAAGACTAGCCCGAAGGCTCTTTGGAAATCTTAGTTTCCCTTCTTTTTAAATGTGAAAACATATTAAGCTCCTTTGGTTATATTTAGTTCTCATATATTTCTTTAAGGAATACTTCTATTTACTATAAACTAAACTCGAGCTTAAGTCTTAAAACGACACTCAAAATATTTTTGAAAGACTTATGAAATTTGAAATGAACTTCTTCTTCTTATGTCTACTTCTTACTCAAACTTATATTTAAGTCTTAAAACTAGTTTAAAGTATTTGTAAAAGACATCTTGAAATGATTTTAAAATTTCTCTAGACTTGGCTCTAACTTTTCTTGAATTTGAAGTTATGGATTCAAGGTTGTAAAATTCGTGTTTTTGGATGATTTCTATGTGATAAAAAGTCATTTAGAGTAGTTACAATAATTAGTATTGACACTCAATTTTGATCTAACATTTTCAAAATTCGTAAATTTTAGGTTTATGTATCTTTTATAATTTAAAATAAATTTATCAATAACTATTCTTATTTGTCAAATTTTAAAATTTTTTATCAGTTAATTTTAGTTACATTTTTTTCCACAGCCGATTGAATACATTCAAATATTCGTTTTTAGTTTTATTTGTATTAAATCATTACTTTTGCTGAATTCATATCATTAGCACCTTTATTACATTTTTAGTTTTATTTGTATTAAATCATTACTTTTGCTGAATTCATATCATTAGCACCTTTATTACATTTTTTTTACATTCATTTTTATTCGTTACATTTGTCCATATTTATTCATATTTTTGCACAATCTAAAAATTAATTTAAATACAGATAAGTTTAATTACACGGTTAACGACAATTTTTAGTCTCAATCCCAAGCTCACACATTTGGGTCCAATTCATAAGTTTTTTTTTTTTTTTTTAAATGTAGATTAGGTAAAAAATAGGTGGATTTTTTTTTTGGGATAAGAATTTTCAGGATGTTTATCCACAAAAAGGGGTTTTTCAAGGTTCATTATTTTTTCCGGTGAGCTCACCGAAGCTCCACCAGTAGCTCAATCGAACAGCCACCGAAGCTCCTTCGTTTCTCCCCTTTTTCGGTGATGTTTCACCACCCAACCAGCAGACCAAAACACCAACGAACCACCACCTAACACTCTCCTATTCGTTGCTGCTGCTAGCAGCTCTCTCCAACCAGCAACTCATCATCTCTTTCACCCATTTTTTCAGCCAAAAACAACTACACCCACCATCAAAACACCACCATAAAACTCCATCAAAAACCAACTCCAAAAACAGCCCCCAAACTATCCCCAACCCACCTGTTTTTCCCCAAATACACCAAGAAACAATCACCAAAACCCCACGCCAGCCAGCCAAACGACACAAAACCCCTCTTCTTTTTTATTTGTTTTCCGACAGACCAATTCCAGCCAAAAAAAATATATAAATAAATTGTTTTATTCTTTTTCCAGAAACTCCATGACCTCCGGCGAGGAGTTTTGAGCTCCGATGAACCGGAGCACTCAGACCAGTTCCCTTCCCCCTTCCACTCTTCAGATTTTGCTTGTTTTGTTGGTATCCCGATGAAACTCCGAACTCCGGCGGCATAGCAATACAGACTCTGCTCTTAACAATGGTGAAACTTGCGGATCTAGCCTAAAATACCACACTCAGGTGACCCATATCTTTTTCACATTTTGTTTCGTACGTATTTGACTAATTTTCAGTTGTTTAGTGTTATTATTGACATATTTTACCCTCACTATTTTGTTGGATTGATTTGGGGCTTACTAGTGACATTTTTATTTATTGTTTCTGTTTCAGCATTTACCTATTACTTTATCACTATTCATTTTTGTTTCTTTTATATTATATTGATTTTGTATATTTTAAATTTATTTTGCTATTATTTTAAGTTGTTTTGATTACTTCGTTATTGATGATCTGTTTTCTCTTAATTCATATAAAGTGACATATAGTGCTAATTGCTAATTGTTGACTAAATAATTTTGTGTATTTTAATTATTTTTACGTTATTTACTTTATATTATTGTATCATGCCTTGGCCTCCTTTTGTTTATTATTATTATTATTATTATTAATAATATATGTTATTACTTTACTATTAAGTTTTCTTTTACATAATTATTTTTTCTCCCATCATGTTTCTAGCATTTTGTGTTATTATTGTGCATGTTTGTTGATTTAATTATTTGTTAAATTTGACCAACGAAAAAATTCTCTGTTTTTGGAGGCTTTTCCAATGATTAAAAGACGGAATTTAGTTCAAGTTTAATATTTTTGTATGATAAAATTGGTCAATGAAAAAATTCTCAGTTGGCTTTGGAGGCTTTCCCAATGATTAAAAGATGGAATTTAGTTTAAGTTTAATATTTTTGTAAGATAAAATTGGCCGATGAAAAAATTATAGTCGATTTCTAAGGCCTCCCATGTTAATAAGACGAGTTTTTTATGCTTAAATTATTATTTGAGTTATTCATATTCATACATTACTAACACTTTTACTAAGTGACTTTACAGGTACCCGGAGGTGTTTCTCCTTGAAATATTTTAAATGTAGTTCGAATCATACTTTTTTAATATCTCATATATATTGGCGTTAGACAAACTTTAGGTCGTTTCTTATATTTTCTTATTTTATTATTTGTGCATATTAAATATTTATTATAATTGTACATTATTTTATTTTCCTCCTCCAATTTGAATAAAAATGAATTCAGTCGGGATCAATATTTGTGGATTCCGAAGGGTGCATAACACCTTCCCTTCGGAATAACCTCAACCCTTACCTAGAATTTCTCCGTTTCGTAGATCACTTTAATTTGGTTTCCTAGTTTTCCTAAAATTATATGGTGACTCTTTAAAATTCATTTATTTCTTAAAATTCATTAAATTGAATCAATTAATTATTTTTCGAGTCATCGCGACGTTTCGCCCTATTCGAATAGAGTGGAGATGTAAACAATTAGGAAGTGCTACAAAACTTTAGAAAGGCTTAATATGACTGAATTACGAAGACTGACAAAATGACATCGATTTGGGTGCGTTCGGGGCGTGCCGCCGCCAACCCTAGTTGAATGAGGCACCAAAATAGCACACTGTAGGTGCACGCCCTAGGCCTTCTGGCGCAAATGGGGCGCACCGCGCTTGGTGCTGCCCAGGTGACGCCTGGAGATTTCCTCAACTCGTCTTTCAATGCTAAACCACCTAAACCTTCATAGTTAAGTTTCCAAACCCTTAGGATCATTAGTACCTTCTATACCCAATCGATATAACTCAAAAAAAAAAACCAACCTGGAATTACAAATCAATTCAACATTAGGTATTCAAGAAGTCAATCAACAAGAATTCAACAATGTTCTTCAAGAACTTTATTTTTCTCATTCACTTAATTCAAATCATTCACCCAATTCAAAAGTCATGGAATTGAAACAAACTTGGTGTGTGGGATAACTAACCCAACACTAAAAGATCTCACATACATTGATTGGGATCACCCCTAACAAAATTCACTCCCTAATCTGGACTAAGACTGGCAAACAGACCGGTTTTTGGCCGGTCCGGTCTGGTTCCAATCCGGTTCCCGTATCGGTCCGTCCGTGTCACGACCCAAACCGGGTTGCGACTGGCACCCACACTTACCCTCCTATGTGAGCGAACCAACCGATCTAACCTTAACATTTCAATATAATATCAACAGAAAGTAATGCGGAAGACTTAAACTCATTAATAAAATTAATAACTATTATTATTCCCAAAATCTGGAAGTCATCATCACAAGAACATCTACTTTAAACTACTAATTCTAAGAGTTTCTAAGAAGCTAAAAATACATAAGAAGCTAGTCCATGCCGGAAGATCAAGGCATCAAGACATGAAGGAGAAGATCCAGTCCAAGCTAGAAGCGTTAGCTCACCCTGAAGATCCGGTGTGACGAAGACTGGCTTGAGTTACTGTTGAGTCGAAGATGACGACACGTTTGCTGCACTCCACAAATAACAAGAAGAAAAATATAAAAGTAGGGGTCAGTACAAAACACGGGTACTGAGTAGATATCATCGACCAACTCAAAATAGGGAACAGAATATATCAAATATTATTGTAAATCAACTATAAAACTCAACATGTAGCAACAACAAGTACTATAATCATCAATAAGTACCATCAAGTTCATCCATGAGGGCTCAAGCCTCAACACCATACTTATTTGGGAATTAAGTTTATTAAGTTGAGTATATTATCATCTTTCAAGATTCATTATCTTTCTTCCTCTTGTGTCGGTACGCGACACTCCGATCCCCTACTGCTATGTGTCGGTACGTGACACTCCGATCCCCTAATTCTACGTGTCGGTTCGTGACACCCGATCCCCTATATGTGTCGGTACGTGACACTCCGATCCCCTATATGTGTCAGTACGTGACACTCCGATCCCCTATATGTGTCGGTACGTGACACTCCGATCCCCTAATTCTACGTGTCGGAACGTGACACTCCGATCCACTAATACTATGTGTCGGAACGTGACACTCCGATCCACTAATACTATGTGTCGGAACGTGACACTCCGATCCACTAATACTATGTGTCGGAACGTGACACTCCGATCCACTAATATCATTCTGTAAATCATCAAGCCTTCTCTATACCAAGGCATCATCAATCCCATTACTTTAATTCATCAAGCCTTCTTCTATACCAAGACATCATCATTAATAATGTATATTAAAGTTTCTTTTCAAGATTTGAGATTCAATATTTTCATCATGCTTATCTTATCACAATCACATAATCATATTCATGCAAACATACCATTAAGCATATAGTAGGGTTTACAATACTACCAATACATATCATTCACTATTAAGAGTTTACTTATGAAAGCATGAAACCATAACCTACCTCCACCGAAGAATTGAATCAAGCAAGAATTTTCCCAAAGCTTTGTTTCTCCCTTCTCGTTCGATTCTCTCTCTCTCTCAACTTTCTCTCTCTTTCTCTTGTTCTTTCTATTTTCTTTATTCAAACCCTCTTTCTTTTACCCTAATTAGTATATAATTAAGAATAAAAGATGGCAATAATACCCCACTAATTAACTTAAGGTTAACTCTTTTAACCCCCAAGTAATTAGACTTATAATCCTTAACCCTCTAACTTTATAATTAAGGCAAGAATAGTCAAAAACGTCCCTTAAAACGTATCAAGAAATCCGACCCAGACTGGGATTGCGCAACCTGTGACGGGCAGTCGTGCCTGCGACGGTCCGTCCTGCAGGTCGTCGCAAGGGTCAGAGAGTCAATTTCCGCTGAACAATCTATGACGGTCCGTCACGCCTGTGACGGTCCGTCCTGCCATTCCGTCACGAAGTTCAGAGAGTCGATTTTCAGTACCCAATTTCAGATTTTCTAAGTGTTTTGAAACGAGACCCTGCGACGGTCCGTCGTGCCCATGACGGTCCGTCGTGGGGTCCGTCGCTTCTGCCAGTTTTTCCAGAAATAAAGTCTGCTGCTCAAAACGACTAAACAGGTCGTTACAGTCCGGTACCGGTTGAACCGGTAAGGAACCGGTCTTTTAGTATACAGGACCGGGTACTGGACCGATTCCTGGTTTTTTATCTGGTTAAATCGGTTCGGTAAAAACCGGTTCTGGTCCGGTCCAATCCGGTAAGGACCGGTTCAGCCGGTTTTTTTATTTTATTTTTTATATTTTTAATGTTACCGTTTTATATGACCGTTGGGCCCTTCTAGCCGTTGGGCTGGGGCCCAAAACGGTCAAATATGACCCCCACCCCCTTCTAACCCATTTACACTATAAATATACCATTTTTTTCCATTTTAAATCACAAATTCAATACTTATACAATCTTATACAATCTCTCAAAGTGTCAAACTCTCAATTATAAATCTCTCATAAATTATTAATTATTATATTGTGATATTGAGTTGAAGTTTGAATTTCGGAAGCTATAATCGGCATCTATCAAATCCGGCTTTCGTTATACATCTACATTTACGTAGACGTTTGGTACATTCGTTCCAACTATTAACTTTAATTGTTATTTGTTTATTAATTTAGTTGTTTTATCTCTTTTATTATATTATTTTGCTTGTTTTTCTCTTAATATTTAATTGTTTTAAATTTTAACATGAATTCGGAAAGAAATAGTGGTAAAAGACCAATGTCGGAATTAAAAAATAAAAAGGGAGGAGTAAGTAGTTCTTGTTCTAAAAATTTGCCACTTAGATATTTAGTTAATACTAATGATTATACTTGTGTTAATGAAACTTTTTTACGTCACCAAGAGCTATTGAATTTAATTCTGAAAATGAAGTAGATCATGAGTCTTTAAATAGACATTATACTAATTTTGAAGAAGAATTAGAAGAAGAAGTAGAAATAAATGAGGAAGATGAAGAGACCCCTACCCCGACTAGTCTGGTTACCGAAGTCCCCTCTTTACCTACTTTTTCAAATATCGCCGTCGTACGTGTTAAAAGATCGTTAGTATGGAAATTTTTGATACAAAATGAGGAGAAAACTACTGTTACGTGCATTAAATGTAAATTGGTAATGAAACATGTAACTACGGGTACGCAAGGGGGAACGGGACGACTAAGAACACATTTACGAAAGTGTAATAAAGAATTTGGTCGCCTAGATTATATAGAAAGAGCTAATAGAAATGGAACACCCATACCCGAAAGTTCTATGGGTGTTGGAGGTTCTAATATGGTTCAAGGTGTATTAAATATGTCTAACCCGGCTAGTCGAAGCACACACCGCACGCATAGTAAAGAAAAAGATCGTAGAGAATTAGCTAAAATGGTTGCTGTTTGTGGTTTACCTTTTTTCCTTCTCATCCTGGTTTTGTTCATTATATTCGAGAATTTTATAACCCAGATTATGAAGGTATTCCAAGAAATACAATTAAAAGTGATCTTTTTAAATATCAAAAAGAATATTCTCATCTTCTTTGTTGTTTATTTGCTTATTATGATGGTAGGTTATCTATTACTTCTGATATGGGACGTAGTCCTAATGGTAACGATTATTTTACACGTACTGTCCATTGGATTGACCATGAATGGAACATGCAAAAACGAATATTAGCGTATAAATATGTTGAAGAAAATAAAACCGGTTCTTATATAGCATCAAAAGTAGGCTCTATTTTACAATATTATGGAATATGTGATAAAATAATGAGTGTCACTTTAGATAATGCTTCTAATAATTTAAGTGCCGTTGATTATTTAAAAATTAGACTTTGTCCAATTGATAATGGTTGTTTTCATATTAAGTGTGCCGCACATGTTTATAATTTAATACTAAAAGATGGTATTTCTCAATTTGGAGTTTCTTGTGAAAAAATTAGACTTGCTTGTAATTGGATTTTTAAAGCTAAAGTAAAAGCTAGAATTACTGAATTTAAAAATCGTTGTAATGAATGTGGACTTGCATATAGAAAAATTCCAAAAGAAATATGCACTAGATGGAATTCTTTATTTGAAATGCTTCAAGTTGCTTATGTTTATCAAGAACCGCTACATTTAGTTTTTAATGCTCATAATGTGGATCCGAATTTAAGAATTGGCTTTGAAGATTGGCAAAATGTTGAAGAACTGATTGATTTTTTAAAAGTTTTTTATAAAGCAACAAATGAATATTCTGGTCAATACTATCCTACTATTTCTTCTGTTTTAGTAAATATTTGTGCTATTTCAATTGAATTTGCTAAATATAAAGGAAAAGAACATTTTAAAGATTCAGTTGCTTTTATGATTGAAAAATTCAAAAAATATTTTTTCCTATTCCTCAAATCTATTTGACTGCTACTACTTTCAACCCAAATTATAAATTAAGAGGTGTTGAAAGAATGGTTGAAAAGATTTATAAAAATTTAGAAATTAAAGATGATGAAACTCCTAGTGATGAACAATGTAAAAGTAGCATTTATACAAAAGTTAAAGATTTATATAATGCATATAAAGTTATGGAAAAAAATATTCCAATAGTTGAACCTTCATTTTCTAAGCCTAAAAGTGATGATACGGATGATATGATGGATGAATATCTTGAGCTTGAAAGTGATGAAACTAATAATGATTTTGTTTTATATTTCAACCAGACACGGGAAAAGATTAGGCGTGACGAAGGAGAACTTCAACCTCGAATATTAAATTGGTGGAAGAATCGTGAAAAACAATTTCTGACACTTTCTAGGATTGTTCGAGATGTGCTAGCGATTCAAGCATCATCGGTCTCTTCGGAGCAAGCCTTTAGTGCAGCGAGATTTATGATTGGAGATCATCGATATTCATTAGCAAAGGACAGTTTGGAAATATCGATGTTGTTTCGAGATTGGGTCAATGACGAAAGAAGAAACACCGGACTACCATTATTAAGTAGCCATATAGAAGGCCAAATAGATGAAATATTTGGTGAGAATAGTGATGATGGCATGGAAGCAATGGACGAAGAACGACAAATGCCAATTCCAAAAAATCTTTCTTTTCAAATGATACAAAATTTACAAAAAGAATTTATAAAAAATTGGAATTGTTAGTATAATAATTACTAATTTACTATTCAATTCCTCCTAAATTATGTACTCTTATTCTCTTTCTAATATTTGTATTGTATAATTTATTTATTTGAATAAATATACGGCTATTCGCCTTGATTTTTTCTTTTATAATAGTCTCTTATATTTAATTCATGTCTTTTTATAAATTTAATTTTTAATTATTTTAATAAAAGTTTATATTAAAACTTTAAATTCAATATAAACTTTAAAGTTTAAATGTAATTTCAAACTTTAAAGTTTCAATTCAATATAAACTTTAAAGTTTAAATGTAATTTCAAACTTTAAAGTTTAAATTCAATATAAAGTTTAAAAAACTTTAAATTCAATATAAAACTTTAAATTCAATTTGAAACTTTAAATTCAATATAAACTTTAAAGTATAAATTTAATTTCAAACTTATATAAACTTTAAAGTTTTCAATTGAAGTTTTAATATAAATATATAATATTATATAATAATTAATATAATTAAAAAAAATGGAAAAACCGGTAAGACCCGGTTCCAAACCAGTCCAACCCGGTTCCAAACCGGTTACTAACGGACCGGGCGGAACAGGGAGACTTTTCCGGTAAAACCGGTCCGGTAAAATCCGGTACCGGTAAGAAAATCCGGTAAGAAAAAACCGGTACCGGTCCGGTTACCGATAAAACCGGTCCTGTTGACCCGGTCCTGTCCGTTTGCCAGTCTTAATCTGGACATTCTTAGCGAATTCTTGACTTTTCTCCTTTGCCTTTTCTTTTCTCTCTTCTCCAATCCCTAAATGTGATTTTGATTTTCCAAAACTGAATTAAGACTTGTTTATACCCTAATAAATTCCTAAAATGAAATAGGAAATCAATTGAAGACTAGTTTGTCGTTTCTTAAATTCGGATTTGAACTTTCCTCACTTCAATAATCCAACTTATGATAGGCATATCTCACTCATATGATATCAAAAATCGGCAAACTTGGCGGAGATGGAAATATCTCTTCAATTATTTCCAACCATATCAATAACTAATTCCTAATCATCCCGAGTTAGAAGTTATGCCCGTTTGAAAATGATCAAAACTCACTTTATTATGTTAGGAAAATTTTCAAATTTTTCCTTTTCTTTCCAAAACTGAATATTTTTAGTTTCTAGCTTATTCTTAGTCATTTCAAATTATGAGATGTTAGAATATCTCCCCTTGGAAACATTCGTACTCGAATGAGATTTCTTTCAGTAAGTTAAGGGTAGTAACATTAAGTTCAACACTCAACAAACAAAAGAAAGTAACCACATGCTTACTCATAGTTTATCAAGTACTAAGAAGAGAACTAGTACCTTGATCTGCATTCTCTCCGGATTCAAAGAGATGTGGATATCTCCTTTTCATATCAACTTCATCTTCCCAATTAGCCTCTTCAACATGGTTCCTCCAAAAGACCTTGACTGATCCAACTTCCTTTGTTCTCAACTTGCGAACTTGGCGATATAAATATGAACTGGAATTTCCTCGTAGGATAAGATATTCTTAATCCCCACATTTTTAATTGGTACGATTTATGAAGGATAGCCCATGCACTTCATCAACATAGATATGTGAAATACTGGATGAACTGTTGCCAACTCTTGTGGTAGCTCTAAGTTATAAGCTACATTCCCATTCCTTTTGGCTATGCGATAAGGTCCAATATACCGAGGACTAAGTTTCCTCTTCTTACCAAACCTCATAACACCCTTCATGGGTGAAACATTCAAATATACCCAATCATATATTTCGAACTCCAACGGCATTCTCCCAACATCTGTATAGGATTTTTGACGACTTCATGCCGTTTTCAATCTCTCTTTAATCACCTTCACCTTTTTCATAGATTGGTGAACTAGATCAGATCCTATCAACACTGCTTCACAAACTTCGAGCCAACCAATAGGAGATCTGTATATTCTCTCATAAATAGCTTCGTATGGATCCATTTACATGCTCGAATGATAAATGTTGTTGTAAGTGAACTCAAGAAGAGGTAGGTGATCATCCCGATTTCCCTTAAATCAATTATGCAAGCCTTCAACAATCTTCTAAGGTCTGGATAGTATGCTCTGCTTGTCCATCCGTCTGAGGATGTAAAGCAGTGCTTAAGTTCACCTTTGAACCCAACCCTTTATGAAAAAATTTCATGAATTTTGTAGTGAATTGTGCACCTCTATCTGAAATGATTGAAACCGGGACTCCATGATGTCTCACCACCTCATCAATGTATAACTTTGCATAATCCTCTGCTGAATGAGTGGTATTTATCGACAAAAAGTGGGTTGACTTTGTCATTCTAACGATAATAACCCAAATTGAATCATGATGCCCTTGAGACCTTGACAACCCTGTTACGAAGTCCATATTAATCATCTCCCACTTCCATTCTAGAAGTTCTATATTCGGAGCCAAACCTCCAGGTCTTTGGTGCTCTACTATAACTTGGTGGCAATTTGGGCACTTGGAAACAAATTTTGCAATACCCTTCTTTATACCATTCCACCAATATATTTCTCTCAAATCGTGGCACATCTTTGTGGAATTTGAATGAATGGAATATCTTGAACTATGAGCTTCCTCCATGATTCTCTCTTGAAGTCCAACCACCATCGGTACACACTATCTACCTTTATATGTTAACACACCTTCTCCTTCTTGTTCAAAAGCTAATACTCTTTGATTTGAACATTTTCCTTCAATTCAAGCAAAATGGAATCTTGATCTTGCTTCTCTTTCACTTTTGACACTAATGATGACTCAGCCCCATTTATCACCACTATTCCTCTTTATGTGGAATCCACGAGTGAGACTCCTAAGCGTGCATGTCTATGCACTTCTTTGCTAGTTCCTTCTTATCTTCCTCAAGATGGGTGGTACTACCCACAGGCAACCCGCTTAAGGCATCAACAACAATATTATCCTTACCTGGGTGGTAAAGATTGTTCATGTCATAATCTTTGAGCAATTCTAACCATCTCCTTTGTCTGAGATGTTCAGGATTTCAAACTCAATGATGACAACTTAAGCTCTCTCTGAGTGAACACATATTGTATGCTCTTGTGATCATTGAATACATCCACATGAACACCATTCAAATAGTGATGCCATATCTTCAAGGCGAATACTACAACATCCAACTCTAAGTTATGGGTTGGATAATTCTTCTCATGAACATTCAATTGTATGGAGGCATAACCTTAAGATCATGAGTACCTTCTATATCCAATCAATATAACTAAAAAAAACCAACCTGGAATTACAAATCAATTCAACATTATGCATTCCAGAATTTAATCAACAAGAATTCAATAATGTTCTTCAAGAATTTCATTATTCTCATTCAACCAATTCAAATCATTCACTCAATTCAAAAGTCATGGAATTGAAACAAACTTGGTGTGTGGGTGAACTGATCCAACACTAAAAGATATCACATACTTTGATAGGGTCCTAACGAAATCTACTCCCTAATCTGGACGTTCTTGGCTAACTCTTGACTTTTCTCCTTTACTTTTTCTTTTCTCTCTTCTCCAAGCCCTAAGCGTGATTTTGATTTTTCAAAACTGAATTAAGACTTGTTTATACTCCAATAAATCCCTAAAATGAAATAGTAAATTAATTGGTGAAAAGACTAGTTTGTCGTTCCTTAAATCCATATTTAAACTTTCTCACTTCAACAACCCAATGTCTGATAGGCATATCTCACACATATGATATCAAAAATGCGCAAACTTGGAGGGGTTGGAAATATCTCTTCAATTATTTCCAACCATATCAATAACTAATTCTTAATTATCGTGAGTTAGAAGTTATGGCCGTTAGAAAATGACCAAAATTCACTTTATTAACTTAGAAAATTTTCCTGATCTTCCTTTTCTTTCCAAAAATGAATATTTTTAGTTTCTAGCTTATTCTTAGTCATTTCAAATTGTGAGATGTTACAATATCTCCCCTTGGCAACATTCGTCCTCGAATGAGATTTCTTTCAGTAAGCAAAGGGTTATAACATCAAGTTCAACACTCGAAAAACAACAGAAAGTAACCACATGCTTACTCATAGTTTATAAAGTACTAAGAAGAGAACTAGTACCTTGATCTGCATTCTCTCCAAATTCAAAGAGATGTGGATATCTGCTTTTCATATCCACTTAAGCTTCTTAAGTAGCCTCTTCACCAAATTGATTCCTCCAAAAGACCTTGACTGATGCAACTTTCTTTGTTCTCAACTTGCGAACTTCGCGATCTAAATATGAACTAGAAACTCCTCATAGGATAAGTTATTCTTAATCCCCACATTTTTAATTGGTACGATTCATGAAGGATCGCCCATGCACTTCTTCAACATAGATATGTGAAACACTAGATGAACTGTGGCCAACTCTTGTGGTAGCTCTAATTCATAAGCTACATTTACAATCCTTTGGCTAGGCGATAAGGTCAAATATACCGGGAACTAAGTTTCCTTTTCTTACCAAACCTCATAAAACCTTTTGGGTGAAACCTTCAAGTATACCTTATCATCCATTTCCAACTCCAACGGCCTTCTCCCAACATTTGTATATGATATTTGACTACTTCGTGCAGTTTTCAATCCCTCTTGAATAACCTTCACCTTCTTCATAGCTTGGTGAACTAAATCATGTCCTATGAACCATGCTTCACAAATTTCGAACCACCCAATAGGAGATATGTATCTTGTCCAATAAAGAGCTTCATATGGAGCCATTTGGATGCTCGAATGATAAATTTTGTTATAAGTGAACTCACTGAGAGGTATGTGATCATCCCAATTCCCTTTGAATCAATCATGCAAGCCTTGAACATATCTTCTAAGGTATGGATAGTACGCTCTACTTGCCCATCAATCCGAGGATTAAAAGCAGTGCTTAAGTTCACCTTTGAATCCACCCTTTATGAAATTTTTTTATAAACTATGCAATAAATTGTGCACCATTATCTG